ACACTCTAGCTGTTGTGATGTAGGTACGTTTCCGATCTTACACATCCGAAATATTAGAGCCACTTGGCAAAGCTGAAGTTCAAGTTACATGCAATAATCAAACATCAACAGCAGAACTTTATGTAGTTCCTGATAGATTTTAACCAATCTTGGGTCGTGCATGGATTAGAAAATTTGGCATAGAACCATAGATAAAACTCCTTTTATCTATGATAGAACTTGGCCAGATTGACCAGGAATTCAACCACCAAGACGCATTTTCTTCAGATGAAATTATTGCGGTTCAAAATATTAAAGACAAGTACACAGATATCCTGTTACATTTGCATTAGGTGACAAAGTTAAAAAAGAACTTAATGATCTAGAGAAATTACAAGAATGCATGAACATTACAAGAACAAATACCACTACAAGCCAAAACAGAATCTCAAGAGGATATCAATTAAATATAAGAGTAAGAAGTTTAAGCGTGGGAGATCGTGTAAAAACTAGATGGTACATGCCTACATGGACACAACCACCTCTTACCACTGCCATTACACAAACATCGTCAACTGTACCTAGAGGTGAATAATAGTTATACAGTAACCGAATATCCAATGATTCACGTCCACATAATGTGGCTGACTCAATCTCTCATCGAAAAACTACGATAGTCGACCACCATCAATCCCCGTTATCTACAAGACACTCGACCTCTACAAACCCTGATCATCAAGGCAGACCAACTCCCGAAGATCCTACAGGAATAAGAAACATTCCGTTCGAAAAAGATTATGTCTCCTAAGCAAACCTTCAAGCGTGGGAGATTGTAGGATTTCCATATTTCGGTCTTAATATAGTCAGCTGCTTCAGTTATAATTTGTTTACTAATGTTTACATTAGTTTGTTATGGTTTCTATGTTAATTAATTGTAATTGTGAATGAAAGAAAACTGTTTTAAAAATATTCTTTTCACTACACTGTCTCAAAAACAGCTGTCTTACGGATCGTTTTGAGTCCCTAAAGATAGATTTTGTTTTACGGACTCGAATCATATGGTTATGTCAAAGCTTGGGTCATCTCAAAAACTAATTTGCTGTTCTGATCCTTTAAAATGCTTCTTTAAACGGTTTTGGCCATATTTTGTATTTTCTGCTATAATATATGACAGTTTAATGAAAAGTATTAATCGTAACTCGTCCTAAAATACTTTTTGTGACTTAATCGAATTTCCGAGCCGATCGTCCCAAAAAAGCCTACTTTAGGGAAAACTACTATTTTATTAACACTGACACAACAAATACTTCAGTAAAACATGGTACTATTAAATCCTTTGCTGTCCGAACTATGAAATCACCTGTAGACATTTTTTATTTCTTTTTTTTCCTATAAGAGATGGCATATAATACAAGAAATGCGTTTTTATATTTTCCTAATAAAAATAAACAATACTTTTTTGTGAGTAATATGTTTAATATTACTCATAGGGCTGTTATGGAATGGCCGTGACTAACAAAATCATCAGTGGGATAATAAGGAAAGACGTGTATATTGAGAACAAAAGTAATTTTATTCTTTAATAGTATAATGTTTAAATCCAACGAGTAACATGTTACTCACGACAAAAACGTAACCACCTGGCAACATATTTGGCCTTGAATCAAATTGAATATGAAAGAAAACACTATAGATTACAGTAATATAAGTCAATCTTTGGTAAGTGTTAAATAATGTGTACTCTCCTAAAAAAAACTCCCAAAATATGGAAATCTCGAGAGTGGAGAAAACTGTAACCCCTCATTGCAAACCTTTGTATGAAACAAAAACGGTGCCAAGGAGCTATTTCCTAGTGCTGCTAACGAGATCAGAATTAAATTTCCCAGGATTTCATGAGTATTACTGGAGTCGATGGGACTTTATAGTATATAATATGAGGGCGATGTAGTCGTGATTACTAAACAGTAATCAGTGGGGAGGAAAGGGTTTTAAACTCATCAAAACTATGTGTGAAATTTTGCAATATGAACGGAAATACGGAAATTCACAATGCTTTATTTTATTTTATTTTTTACTTGCAGAGCACCTGTCCTTCATTATGAGTATAAAAGGCTTATTGCATTTATGGGAGAGGTTTAAGAAAATTTTGTTCCTTTAATTTATACGATAAGCTATAGTATTGCACATCTACCATAGCCGTAATGTTACACCAAACTCAAAGAAAAAATAGTTCTCATTCTGTACCACATCTTTGAACACTTTGTATTTTAAGATTGTTTTAAAATTTAAATGCGATTTAAAAACTTTTTTAGTACTGACATTTTTTATCTAAAGTTACCCGTTTAGGAGTTACAGCGTGTTGGTGTTACGTTTGAGAAAAGAAGGCTTGTGGTGTTCATTCCGCATCCTGTTGCTCCTAAACGAGTAAGTTTGGAGATAAAATAAAATGAATAAATTGCAATTGCGTACATTCTAATAAAATCGTAAAATACAATACAAATATTGATTTTGTTGTTTAAAAATTGGGCGACATTTTCCAAAATGGCTGCCAACATTAATATTGGAAAACTCTGTACTTTATGTTTTATAGGCTGTAAATGTGATATAAGGACTTATTTATTCATTGCATTATCTCTCTAAACTAACCCAATTATGAGCTACAGGATGCAGAATATTCACCACAAGCGGTTTTTCTTGTATCACACTATAACTCCTAGACGAATAGCTTTAGAGAAAGAATTTCAAGAATAAAAAGTTTTAAATTGTAAATACAGGCTGCTAAATAATAAATAACAAAGTTTAATTGTATATCTTATAATAAAAAAGGCAGCTATTGGTTCACTTTAGGTGAGACACCCTGTATGTCTTCAAGTAACATTAAATTCTTCTTAATAACCTTTTTTATGGGACATAGGATTATTTATAATAAATTTAAAAACTATTCTTAGATCATAGATTTGATTGTCTCTGTCAAATAGCGCTGTTAAACCCAGAATGACGTTTTTAGTTGTTCCAATAGCCCACAAATGCATCAACTGTAGCCGATCGTCACTATTAATGGCATTTGGCGGTCTTTAAAGTTTCAAGTCTTGACGAAAATATTCTTGTAATGACAAAGCTACACCACCATTGAAGCTCTCTCTATAAATATTTAACATATCAAACATTTCAAATAAATTTTATTTTCTAATGTAAATTGTAAATGTAGAGGAGTTAATATTTATACACAAAATATCTACTCACCGTTTAACTGTAATAATAACCAGTTCAAATTTTCCAGAATTGTGATGCATTCCTTGAATTATTTAAAGACAGGAGTAATACAACTGAACTAGTTAAAAACCAGGGTTAAAGGTTTATAATCCCCTGGAAAAATGTTTGTTAAGCAGCAAATTGAACATGCAGTAATACCGTTCGTACCCCATCCATGTAACAAAATAAAGTGCAAAGTTCATTATTTTGTTATCCAAACAAGCCAGCCAAATATAAATCTTGTAGTCGAATATAAAGTTGATTAGATTGAGTTTCTAGGCACGTATCACTGAAACGTTCTATTCTCTCTCGATTGTTTTCGAGTTTGAATAACAAGATGCATACAGAATCATGATAAAGAACAATTTTTAATTTTAACCATAGCAGTTGTGAAACAGCTTATACAGCTTGAATAATGGCTTGGTAAGACAACATTTTCCAAGCAATATTTTTACGCATAATTATAAATACGAGTCCTCAATTCATTCTGGTATATAGTTCGCAATCTGCTCTGGGCGTAGGTTCACACACTTCCAGTTTTCATTTTATATTCTAAGCATTTGACTAATGTCACTAAATGTTTTCAAATACATCTACAAATATTTGTTTGTAGTAAACATAGTCATCATATTTTTAGATTCAACAGATACTCAATAAAATTGTTTCTCTATTAAGTAAAATTTTTAAAGTACACCTTAATTTTGAGCAGAAATCATAAGCCATTCCCATGCCGTACGTTTGAGAAGTATGCGCAAACAATCTTCAGTAGTTAGAAATCCAAATGTTAGAATAAGTGTAAGATTTATTGGTTTTTAAAGTTGAAAAAATCCTATCATCGATGTTAACATTAGGGACTGATGAAATGCATGGCAACGCTATATGTTGACTGATATACTGCATTGTTTGTACAGGAGACGAACGGTACGGAGTGGGGATATCTCCCAGAGATCAGACCTGTGGTACACTATGTGGTAGGAAGTCTGTTGTTAGCAGTGGGGAATGCTGGAGTGCTTGGCAACGCTATATGTTGACTGATATACTGCTTTGTTTGTACAGGAGACCAACGGTACGGAGTGGGGATATCTCCCAGAGATCAGACCTGAGGTACACTATGTGGTAGGAAGTCTGTAGTTAGAATTGGGGACTGCTGGAGTGCTTGGCAACGCTATATGTTGACTGATATACTGCTATGTTTGTACAGGAGACCAACGGTACGGAGTGGGGATATCTCCCAGAGATCAGACCTGAGGTACACTATGTGGTAGGAAGTCTGTTGTTAGAAGTGGGGAATGCTGGAGTGCTTGGCAACGCTATATGTTGACTGATATACTGCTTTGTTTGTACAGGAGATCAACGGTACGGAGTGGGGATATCTCCCAGAGATCAGACCTGAGGTACACTATGTGGTAGGAAGTCTGTTGTTAGAATTGGGGACTGCTGGAGTGCTTGGCAACGCTATATGTTGAATGATATACTGCTTTGTTTGTACAGGAGACCAACGGTACGGAGTGGGGATATCTCCCAGAGATCAGACCTGTGGTACACTATGTGGTAGGAAGTCTGTTGTTAGCAGTGGGGAATGCTGGAGTGCTTGGCAACGCTATATGTTGAATGATATACTGCTTTGTTTGTACAGGAGACCAACGGTACGGAGTGGGGATATCTCCCAGAGATCAGACCTGAGGTACACTATGTGGTAGGAAGTCTGTTGTTAGAAGTGGGGAATGCTGGAGTGCTTGGCAACGCTATATGTTGACTGATATACTGCTATGTTTGTACAGGAGACCAACGGTACGGAGTGGGGATATCTCCCAGAGATCAGACCTGAGGTACACTATGTGGTAGGAAGTCTGTTGTTAGAAGTGGGGAATGCTGGAGTGCTTGGCAACGCTATATGTTGACCGATATACTGCTTTGTTTGTACAGGAGACCAACGGTACGGAGTGGGGATATCTCCCAGAGATCAGACCTGAGGTACACTATGTGGTAGGAAGTCTGTTGTTAGAATTGGGGACTGCTGGAGTGCTTGGCAACGCTATATGTTGACTGATATACTGCTTTGTTTGTACAGGAGACCAACGGTACGGAGTGGGGATATCTCCCAGAGATCAGACCTAAGGTACGCTATGTGGTAGGAAGTCTGTTGTTAGAATTGGGGACTGCTGGAGTGCTTGGCAACGCTATATGTTGAATGATATACTGCTTTGTTTGTACAGGAGACCAACGGTACGGAGTGGGGATATCTCCCAGAGATCAGACCTGTGGTACACTATGTGGTAGGAAGTCTGTTGTTAGCAGTGGGGAATGCTGGAGTGCTTGGCAACGCTATATGTTGAATGATATACTGCTTTGTTTGTACAGGAGACCAACGGTACGGAGTTGGGATATCTCCCAGAGATCAGACCTGAGGTACACTATGTGGTAGGAAGTCTGTTGTTAGAATTGGGGACTGCTGGAGTGCTTGGCAACGCTATATGTTGACTGATATACTGCTTTGTTTGTACAGGAGACCAACGGTACGGAGTGGGGATATCTCCCAGAGATCAGACCTGAGGTACACTATGTGGTAGGAAGTCTGTTGTTAGCAGTGGGGACTGCTGGAGTGCTTGGCAACGCTATATGTTGACTGATATACTGCTTTGTTTGTACAGGAGACCAACGGTACGGAGTTGGGATATCTCCCAGAGATCAGACCTGTGGTACACTATGTGGTAGGAAGTCTGTTGTTAGAATTGGGGACTGCTGGAGTGCTTGGCAACGCTATATGTTGACTGATATACTGCTTTGTTTGTACAGGAGACCAACGGTACGGAGTGGGGATATCTCCCAGAGATCAGACCTGAGGTACACTATGTGGTAGGAAGTCTGTTGTTAGCAGTGGGGACTGCTGGAGTCCTTGGAAACGCTCTGGTACTATTTGTGTTTACCAGGTAATACAACAGAGCTCTATAGAAATGCACGTGGTATTTAAACCATTTAGGAAATATGTTGGCCAAATGCAATTTTATATATAAAAATATTTATGGAAAATATTTCTGGAAAAGAATGTTTTATTTATATAAACACTATATATATATCTATATATCTATATTTATAAATAAAGATTAAACATTAATAAACTTAGTACCCAAGTAAAATTATTTATTAAAATATTTACTGACTATAGTTTCGGCTCTAAGGCCATTTTCAAAGTAAACAAAAATCAAAATAAGATATGTAAATAAATAAATAACATGTGATATTATAAAACTTTTCTAACTTGTAACATAATTTTGTCTTCATTGATTAATTTATATACTATATGATGTTTTGTACTTATTTTCATTAATATTTTCTCAATTTTGCAATTTTTTCATATATTGGATTGTTCAATTTTGGAATCATTGTATTTAAAATATTTGATTTGTTATTTTTGTAGTTCATTGTACTACATTGGACAAACCTATCGAAATTTTAAAGTTAGATTCAACGAACATATACAGGCATATAAATCGAAGAACAAAACATCAATGAAATCAAATTTTGCAGATCATTTACTAAAATCCAAACATAAGTTTACTAAGATCGAAGAAAACTTAACAATATTAGAAATTGAAAAAGACAGAGAAAAATTGAATGTAAAAGAAGAAATTAATATGTATATGAACTACAAAAATAACAAATCAAATATTTTAAATACAATTATTCCAAAATTGAACAATCCAATATATGAAAAAATTGCAAAATTGAGAAAATATTAATGAAAATAAGTACAACACATCATATAGTATATAAATTAATCAATGAAGACAAAATTATGTTACAAGTTAGAAAAGTTTTATAATATCACATGTTATTTATTTATTTACATATCTTATTTTGATTTTTGTTTACTTTGAAAATGGCCTTAGAGCCGAAACTATAGTCAGTAAATATTTTAATAAATAATTTTACTTGGGTACTAAGTTTATTAATGTTTAATCTTTATTTATATATAGTAGCCCTATTTTTCTATTTTTCATATCTATATTTATATATCTATATAAACACTACTATAGAAAACCAGAATTTGTGTATGTTTGTCATTGTTATACATTCACGTTATTCAAAGCCTATCTCATTAACAATTTACTACTAAAAGTGCTGCCACTGAATGAACTTTTCCCAACGAGGTATTTGAATATATGTACATCAACATAACCAACAGTGTAGAAAACTTTTCACAAATAGTACTAACTGTGTAACTAAACAAGTACATCGTGGCAATAGCAATCAATTACCTCACGTTAGTAAAAATACAATTCATTCACACGCAGTGATTAGTTTTCACTTACCACTCATCCACTTATCAATTACATGTATATTATGATTTACAAGTGAAGTATCATGACTTGTACAGAGATGGCTTAGTTACACTCGATAGTGATCACATACAGCCCACACAGGCTCTTACCATTGACTATATAATATATTGTCAATGCTCTTACACAACTCCTCTCGCTCTACACTCCAAGAAACGAAACACTTGGTCATTTATTAGCTCGTATAAAAAATAAATTGATGTGTTTGAATACAAACATGGCTATCAGTTTATATTGTTTACTTGTTTTACAGCGAAACAGTATCTGCCCGGATTTCAGAACCACTATAATATAAACCGTATAATATATTAAGTGTTATTATCATTAAGTTTTGACCAGACCTCTGCTTGCTTTTTCAAATAAAAAAATAACAACTATTAAGATTGAGTTTGAAAAGAGCGCTATTTTGACAATAGTTCATATCGGCGGCTATTTAAAACAACTAAACAAACAAAAAAGTATATCTTTGTTATTTTCTTCCTGAGTGGAGTTCAAAACAAAAGTTGTGGCCACCAATTGTAATTTTTTTAAGCAAAACCTTTTTTGCTTAAGTTTAAGTACCATCATAGACTGTATGTTTTATCTATGGTACAATAACTGACTGCTATAAAATTATAAAAGTCCAATGACGTAAAAATAGGGACACTTTTATCATTAAATCAGTTAGAATTCAATAGTCACAACAGGTTCTACAGTATACAAAACATTTGCCAAGAATACACTTAGAACACCTCTTGTATTGTATAACGAGGAAGGCGTACTGTTAAACAATAGCTATTACCATCCCTTAAATCATTGGTAATTTTTAATTTTATTCTGACGGAGAGAGTTAATTAAGTCAATTAAATTAACTATGGCTTTAGATTAGTTCTTGGATTAGGTGCAATTACTTAAAAATACTAATTAACAAACTAATTAAACAAATTAATGAGTGATTTAAACAGAACTACAAGATTTTTTGAAACTAAATAAGTTATTTAGCAAAAGTAAGTACTTAATTAGTATTACTTATACTTAAACATACATAAACATATATGTATATTTATACATATAAATCATATTATATAATTATTACAATTATATTTAAATTACCTATACATGTAAATATATAAATACACATACACACACACACACAAATATATATACCGTAATATATTTTACTAACGGTACTTATTAAAGTAAGTACATGAAAAGTACTTAGTACTATATTTTGTTGATAGCCAAACTCAAATAAACAACTTAGTAATAAATCGAACCATACTATTCATTTTAAACGTTAATAATAATGACTTGATGTGTTTGTTATTGGCAGATTCAGGCGGTTGAGGGGACCATTCTCTTCGTTCGTAGTGAACCTGGCAGTAGCAGATCTGTGTACTTCCCTGCTGCATGGGATGGCAGTCGTGTCCTCCTTCAAGCATCGATGGGCCTTCGGACGATTAGGTGGATAAAGCCTAATCAATAGTTGGATCTATCAACTAAATGCTTTTCAAATATTTCTTTGGTTTTTACTTTTGTTTACGGGAACAATTTATAATCTACGATCTTGTAGTCAAACACATCCAAATTGTTGTGTAATAATAATTTAATACTGAAAGTAATTCAATGGTATTAGCAAACTGACACATATATTTGCCATTAGCTTGTCAACAACCCTAATAATGGGTAAGTAGTGTGAGTAACTATGACCTTTTACGGGAAAAGTCATATACCTACTGCGCAACCATTGCTCAAATTTGTGGAAGAAGTGATGAAGAAATTTGCGAGCCGTAATTTTTAAAGCATTTAGCCTTTTAAAATTTTATAAATTCAAAATAGGAAAATTCAACTGGAGAAATATACTCCAAAACCCAAACTTTAAAAAAGCCCTAACCAATTTGAGCTGTTTGGAATCAAATAGTATAAACTGAACTTGCTTTAAGCCTTAACTATCAATAACACATTTTAAGTCTAGGCTTTTGCGACGTTTTGAATATACTATTTTTAATGTTTGTGTAACACGTGTCATGAAAATTGTGTAAAAATGTATTTGGGAAATACCTGATTAATATATGGCTTGGATTATTACAGTCATTAATTAAATTCTTGATAAATAAAGCCGGAACTTTTTACTGCGACTAATATTTGTTCAAAGGTGAGGTACTTTTAAAGTAATTGAAACAGAGAGAATTAATGATCAAAATAGAGATTTTCTTGTCTGTAGCCATTGTCTTTGGAAATGAATCTGTTAATGATACTTAATTCTACTAAACGTCTTTGATATAGGTATTATACAAATAATTGCATACGGATGAAATATTTTTATTAATTAACTTTTGATTATACTAAATATACGGTTTTAATTTGGGTTTTGTTTTGTTTGATTTAAATACAAAAAATTTCTTAACACTTTTGATAAAAAAATTAAAATTAAAAACCTAATTGTGTTTAAAGCGCAAGTTTTCTTGGTTGGAAAGGACGAGGTAGTGAAGAAAAGACAGCATTTCTAATTGGCCTCTTATAGTATAATGATGAGAGTCTCCCAAACACAAACATTATTCAAAGTTACCGTTCTTGAAAAAATAAACAACCACGTAGTATTTCTATAGCGTAAGACTCCAGCCAGGCTGCATTTTTGTATTACCCGTCCTGTTAAAAGTCTTGCCCCCGTAAACAAATAGACCACCACTTCTGCAATCAATGTATTTGTGGATATATTTGATCCACTATTATAAACATTTGTCATACTATATTAATGTAATATTGGTGTAACATACCACTCGAGGCCTTGTTAAAAGTGTCCACAAAACAAAATAAAAATATGTATACAAGTTCCCTAAATAAAGACGTTTTAATTTAGACGTACTTAACTAAGTATCTATATAATTAATACGCTACACGAAACTTTGTCGGTTGAACTCCTCCGCCATTTATTAACCGATTTTATCCATTGACGTCTCATTGGAAAGAGCGTGTCGCCTATATTTGCAAACTGGCCTTACATTTTTGAAAAAGTCCCTTGGGATCTGCCCCAGTGGCTGTTAAAGTTCCCATGTTATCCTTATGAAGAACATAATTGTTTACATTTTGATCAGCTGTTATTTATTTTTCAATTCAATGAAACACATTGAGTATATTTATTTACTATTGAGTTTGTGAAAACATAACCCCTAGACGGTTCATGTTAGCATGAGTGTAGCTTAAATTTGTACATTTATCGTTGTTTTGTGTAACTATAATTTGTTTATTTGTTGTTTTTTTCTTTTAAATGCCTCCGTCGCGACAACGAAACATCGTGTAATCGTGATAACGACCGCAGAACAGTGGCGCGTAATAGGCTTAACGATAGACAAAAAGAATTCTTTTTGTCTATGCTTAACTCATCACAGTCAGCACCTGACCCTGGACAATCTCAACTATAAGTTACAAATGCGCCCTAACACTACCCCAAAACGACTTTTCGTTCTCAATTGGTCCTCTATCAATGACCTGTGTCGCCTTTACAGCGAGGCATTTTGAGAAGGAGAAAACCGGCCGGAATGCTTTAGGTTAGCAATAACGAAGATAAACATAGTCTGAGTTACACACCGGTAATCTTTGAGTTGACTCTTTTAAAATGATTGCTATTCGTTTTGAAATAACTCATGTAATACTTTGCAATTGCTCGAAATCGAGCAACATGTACACTAGTAGTAAAATAAAACAAAACCACGACAAAAATTGGATTTATATTTAAAAAATGGTACAAGTCATTGATGTACATACGTTCTTCCGAGCGGAATTGAATCAATAGTATACTTTGTTACATAGCTTGTTCAGTAGGCTAATCGACATTCACATTTAAAACCAAAATAAGTGTTGAATCTTGATGCAAACGTAAATAAAGGGTGCACCAAAAATCCTCATGGTTTCTGATATGTAATAAGTCAGCTGTTATAGTAGCTAGAGACCTCATTCTTGTAGTGAACGATTGCTTATGTTATGCCATTTTTAGGTTATGTTGATTTAACAAATAAACATGTGGTATAACCAGTGGTTGGCGCAACATCGTTCTTTTGATATTGAGAGATTTTTTAAACAAAGAGTCTGTAACTTGAACTCAACGATTGTTATGCGTTCATTTTTAGCCAGGGCATCATGGAGCTATTATTTCTCCAAACACTATTTTCAAGTTTGTTTTTAACTTTCGAAACATAGCTTCTGAAATAAAGATCAAGCCAAGTAGCCGGTCTCGTTCAGTTAGTACAACATTTAAACGAAACTGTTCGATGTAGTGTAGTTCAAAGTCCTAATCGTTCTGCTCGTAGGCAATCTACGTGATTGGCCTAGGTAATTTCAAACTATTCTTTACGTAGAATTTTACATTTAGATCTCAACTTCCTCCCGTACAAAAGGGGGAACGCCGTCATTGTAAACTCGGAACGCTATGTGGAAATGCTGAGGAGGTTTTTGGTTCCACAACTGCGAATTAGGGATAGACATGACGAACACATGGTTTCAGCAGGACAGCGCAACTTTTCACACAGCCAATGATTCAATGACAGTTTTGCGTGAACTTTTTCCCGGTAGAATGATCTCACGGTTTGGTAATGTGCCGTGGTCAGCGCGATCCCCAGACTTCGTGTGACTGTTGGCTGTGGGGCTACTTAAAAAGAAAGGCGTTCTTTTCGAAACCTCAAACCATCCCTGAACTCAAGCAGTGTATCCGGGAAGAGACTGCTACTATGCCTCAGGCGATGACACGGAAGGTGACTGCGAATATGCAAAAATGATGGGAAGCCTGCGTCAACGGAGAAGGTTATCACCTAAGTAATGTAATTCATAAATTATTTCATAAATGGAAATGGCATAATAGTGTGACCAATATAACATTATTTAATACATCAAATTTTACTTTTGTTCTCGAGCTCTTTAATATTAAAAACCGTCACGTTATTTTGGCACACTAAGTATAATTTCATAAACTTATCTTAAAACCAAGAGGCTACAGTACGGTATTTACTTTTATAAGTGGTGAAGATACGGAAACAATGTCTCTGATTCTAAGATTTATTTGAACAACAGCTGAAACTCATGAGATAATTTAGATCCCAGAATATTTTCTCAAATTATTCACTGATAAGCAATAGAAAATGTTAAACCAAAAAGAGGCTTGTGTTTTACGATATTTTTTAAAAATTTTATGCAGCCTTATTTGTTAAGTTTGATAAAAAAAAAACTCTTGTTCTAAATATTAAGGTTTCATGTTGGAGAAACATTCGAGTACATTTCCTGGCTCAAACCGTATCTATTGTCTAGTCAAAAGTATACTACTTTTACTCAAATAGCTCACTAATATTTGCTAACGTGCAAATATGTCAGTGCAGCTCATGAGCTTCAAGTTCCCTTACTCAGCTTAATACCCCCTACTAGAATGCATTGAGGTTTATTTGGATTGGCAAATCCAAGGTTCAAAGTGTACCCCACCGTTTTAAAACAAAAAAAATGGGTTTTTGGAATGAAATTTGTAGATATTAAATTGCAGTTTTACATAAACCTGATCCTATTTCACCTCCAGGCTGCATGCTGTATGCTGGGGGAGTGGGCCACTTCGGACTGTTGTCTATAGTCACCCTGGCCGCTATAGCAGTAGAAAGATACTGGGTGATCACGGCCAAGCCTCTGTCGGGCAGTCGCAAGCTCACCAAGTACGGCGCACGCAAGGTTAATGCGTTACATATAATGGCATATTTTGTTCTACTCTAATACACTGCAAAGTTAACATTATGAAATATTGATTTAAGATTAAAAATAAAATACCCTTGTGTTACTAACATCTGAACAATTTATTTCGTAAAGTGAATTATATGAAGTATCCAGGAAGTATCAGGATTTACTGAAATCAATATGAATAAGTCTATAACAAGTAAGGTGCAGCTTTGCTGGGTTACAAATAGTGTTTATACCTGGGAAAATCTACAATGTGTGGCTACCAAATACACATCACTTTATTGATTTACCGTCTTTGAATGATTAGATAGTTTATTTGGATGAAAAAAAAAAATAGTCTGAAGCTCTTAACACTCGATACTTTTAAAACTAAATAAAACTGGAATTATTTTAAATGGTTTAATTGGCACCAGCAAGCACCAGGTACTTTTAGTTGCCAAATTCACATATGCGATAGTATGCAATTTACATACACTTATTGTATATTTATACTCGTATGTTTACTTTGTGTTTCTATTACCGACAGACCTGCGTATTCGCTTGGCTGTACTGCCTAACCATGTCGCTGCCTCCGTTTTTCGGCTGGTCCAAGTACGAGCCCGAGGGTTTCCTCACCTCATGTTCCTGGGACTACACGACGCGCTCTTCTGCCAACCGCGCCTACTACATCTACCTGCTGACCCTTGGCTTTGTGATGCCTGTGGCCGTCATTTCCTACTGCTACGTGTTCATCATGGTCGCTATCTTGGCTCACGGTCGGGAAATGAAGGACGTCAAAGCCAACGGTAACAAAATCATATGTGGACATATGTGACAAATTAAACAAAACGTAAAAATGAGGTGAATAGAAACAACAGGGTGAATAGAAACAAAACTTCAATGAATGATTCACATTTTTATAACTTTGTTATACATTGACTTTATATAAGGGAATTATTTTCTCCCATTATAACCATATCCTATCTACCTGGGAAAAATTAGTTTAGCATATTGGTATCACTGCTTCGGATGTTGGATGATGCGAAACATCATTTGAAAATGTTTGCGAAAAACATTCTTTTCAAAACTTTCTCTCTAAGTATGAACCTATTACATGTATTTATGTTAATAACCATTTTTTATATTGTCTTAGGTATCATAAAACCAAGTGTGTTAATAGATTAGCCTTAGAATAAACTATATTTTTTTACTTTATTTTTAATTTAGGTTATGTCATGATTTTGCAAAACCAGGGTGAATAGAAACACTTTTTTAACCAGTGGTGCAAATAAAGGTTGACCTGAAAACCCCCCAAAAAAGAAAAAAAAATACCAGAGATGAAGATGATTCTACATCAGTCACACTGGAAGAAAGTGACAAAGACGAACAATTTGATGAAGAAGAACCAGCATACCTAGCTCAAGACATCAGTGAGTCTTCAAAGTTGTCCCTTCATGATCATGTAATTGTCAAAGTAATGGGGAAAAACAAACCTTGCTATCGTGTATATGTTGCAAAAGTTATTGAATTTGACGAGGAAGGATAAATAGGAAGATTCATCAAGAAAATTGCGCAAACCAACAAGTTCTGAGAGACGGATTAAGAGGCCCTCTTCAAAGTCGATGACGTAGTACGATCGGCTTCCAACTCCCAAGCCGTGTACAACTAGTAGATTTAAGGGAGTGTTGTATTTTGAGGATGATTTGTCTGATTTTACTCTTCATTTAGTTGGTTTCTATGTAAGATTTTGTTACTCTGATTTCACCCATTGTCATTTATGTTCTCCGATTTGTTTGGATAAGGGTTTATGAAAACGACGTTTTTATACTTCGTACTTATAAATAAATGTGTTAATTAACTTTAAATATTTTTATTTACAACAACCTAAGCTAACAAGCATAAATTTCATGTTTCTATTGCCTCTGGTAAGTGAGGAAAAGCAACAATCATCAATTTAACACAGTGTTTCTATTCACCCCAAAGTGCGGGGTGAATAGAAACAGCCATATTTTATTTTTTTTTTGCTTAGTGATTAAAAAGAAAAAAATTGATAACTGGTTTGAGTAGAGGAGTTCAAGACCAAAAATATGAGCTAGTGTTGAAAATTTAAAAATTAAAAATATCGGTTTTACAGAAGCTTAAAAGTCAAAAAGTGTTTCTATTCACCCCATTCTACGGTAGTTGTTTTAGTAAATACTTATAAAAAAATACCAACTAGTCTTTATACGTGATCCATACTCATAGATTGAAAACAAACTGTCTAAATAGTAGGTTTTGTTGAATAGGTTAAGGTAAACACTAAGACCGAACACCCAGGAATTGATTTCAAGATATAACGATCAAAATAACATCCAATAAGGGACATTGTAGTCGTGTAGCCTTAAAAAGCACTGCAAACATTTAACGTTATTTTTAAGTGCTACACATGATAAGAGTAAATAAAACTTTGGGGAGAAAATTAGGTTTCAATTCAGACCTGTGTGACAAAATAATTATGTTCTGTATGCACCTAATTAAATTGAATATTAAGATTAAAAAAATAATACTGAATTAATCAACTAATTAATTGTTTGCTATCCATATATATGACTGGTATCCAAGTTTGTTTGATAATTATGGTCACGTTATTTAGTCTATACATACTATGTCTAAACATACGAAAAATTCAAACATATTGTATCTACCCTTATTTTATAACCTATACAGATATCAATGACATCGAATGTAAAAAAGCATCGGACAGTGTCGTATAATGCCTCCATTTTGCCAATTCAGTTATTGGATTTAAAAGCCTTAAAGCGCGACGCTCGACCTTTTGCCATATGTTTGAGACTGACAACTCCAATCGTCCCTACATTTTCCTAGGGTTTTGTTGGGAATGGTGCTTGATCATGAATAGGATTTAAGTGATGAAAACAACTCTTCGACATTTTTTACTTCAAAAGAGATTGACAATATTTTGTATCATAATGGACGCGTGCGAGGAGCTAGCCTAGACTACTACCAGTTAGTCTAGGCTAGCTCCTCGCACGCGTCGCGCATCAATTAACCCATGGGAAATGTTTGTGACTCTTACGTGTGTATTCGTTTTTTATGTTCGTGTTCGTGTTCGTGTCCGTAGTCGTATTTGTGTTCTCGTAGTTTTAATGTGACGAATTCGTATGAATGACAAATTTTGACCTCCTTCGACACCTGAAGAAAGCCCCCTGAGGGCTGAAACTGCAGTAGTGTAATATACTACTCAAAGGATCACCTGACAGTTAAAAGGTATTTAAACCATTTTTATTAACTAAAGTGATTCGGAGGCTAACATCATGACATTCGTAATAATGTGTTACAGGAGGGGGCAAGCCAAGGGGCTACATCTCCACGCGGCCGTTCGTCCACACTCGCTCATCCTCTACAGTTCGAACGGCCGAGATAATCTTCGTACTAGTACTTCTGTTTATAATTTCTTGGACTCCATATGCAGTCATAACATTCATCGGTCAGTTTGGTCCTCGCGAATGGCTAAATCCTTGGGTAACAGCTCTTCCTGCCTTCTTTGCCAAGGTATGGTAGTAAATGTTGTTTTCGTTATATTTGAGTGATATGGTAAACAAAATTTAGGAACATAACGTAAATAAAGTCAAAACTCAAAGAATAGTATATAAGTCATTTTATAATGAGTGATTTTTTTTATATCATCATTTTAGTCCTTAAGTCATTTCATCCTTGTGTTAAAGTTTTCCTAGTCTTAAACAAAATCTTCATAGTTAGAGTGAGCCACAGTCTGATTGTGATGATGTTAAATTTTTTTATAAAAGAGGTTGGTGGCCTCTTTTAACCTTGCATTTGCCCGTCCACATAGACTAACCGCCCGTGCGTGGATCGTATACAGCAAAGCAAGGAGTGAGCCGGTACAGTACAAAGATGAATTACTGGTTTTATGTATTTATGTCAAATACACGAAATCTTTTACAAATTCAAGCTGATGATATGACTTATTGTGAGTTATAGCACTGTTATGACCCATGTGTGTAATATTTCTAAATTCTTACTAATTGTATATAACACCTTATTAATATGTCGATCAAGTTGCCACTTTGAAAACAAGGATTACTGTAACTCATACCTGTTTCTGGCTATACACGCTGCAGATTTTATCATTTTTTTACAAGTAAACCATAACATAACGTGGAATTTCACATTGTACTCTACCGTAATGCATCTTCTGTAATAAATTAATTCGTAAATGTTACAATGGTGTACAAGAAGCAGTTCGTCAATCGAAGTGATTCAAACTGATGAATATATTTGCAAATATTTGCAATGTTTGGTGACTAAGTCTATTACAAGCAGGGGAGGCGGGGTTGTTGAGCTGGCAAAAGTAGCATCGCGTTGAGGTGTTTAGCAGAACTCACCGGTAAATCACTCTTGCTGATTTCCGGTAATTTCTGTAGACAGCGACTTGTTCTAAAAACAGTACAGAAACCAACTGCTTACTATTTAACTAGGCGAAAAATGGTTTACATCCTTGTGGAAAGACACTACTTGAGGATTTTATCTTCCTATGTATTTTACTTTTTGTTAAGCTACGTAAAAAAAACAAAAACTATAAAATTCACGATATTAGTTAAAAATAAAAGACACTTTTCTTTTTATTTGGTAGACGTTTTTTAATGACGAGGCAACGGCTTATCCATATTAATTCATCGATATTATTTTTTGCAAGAAAGGCAGTACTGATACACTTATGAAAAAATAGCTATGTTCATGAATTTCTCTATAATGCATGCCTGTAATACAATGTATTTTTAACCGTAGGCATCGGTCGTGTATAATCCTATAATCTACGGCCTGTCACACCCGCACTTCCGGTCATCAGTGAAGCAGTACATCTCTGCTTGTACGACTGGGGTGAGCAGCTCCACCATGGCGGGGTCCCAGAGAGGATGTCCTGGGAAGCGACCCTCGGTACCTGCGAGAGACGTCGCCTCTAGTCCAGCCTCCATACACGCCCTGCACCGCACACACTTCCGCTGCTTCCCTCGCCACACAGTCAATGGTGAACACAGCTTCCACAGCGAGCCCGACCCCAGGTAACCATCATTACTGTACATGGTCAATGGTGAACACAGCTTCCACAGCGAGCCCGACCCCAGGTAACCATCATTACTGTACATGGTCAATGGTGAACACAGCTTCCACAGCGAGCCCGACCCCAGGTAACCATCATTACTGTACATGGTTAATGGTGAACACAGCTTCCACAGCGAGCCCGACCCTAGGTAACCATCATTACTGTACATGGTCCAGGAAATGCCAGGCAGCACCATGGCTGATAACACAAGTACCCTGATAACGAGCCTGTCATTTTACACGTCAAAAATGTTAGTGAACTCTTTCTGAATCATATTGAAGTTATACCTTAAGCAGTAATAGTTTACATTGTAGTATGAGATGTGACGAAAGGCTCTAAAAAGGCTTTTGATTGCATAGTCCCCAGTTTTCTGCAAAGCATATAAAAAGCAAATCATTTGGTGTTCTTGATCTTACGTTCTTAAAAACTAGAATTGCACATGAACATAGTGACTATGATACCCCTTACATTTTTTAAAATGCATTTTAATTTTAACACTCAATAACACCCAAACTCGGAGCCGCAATATTGGGTTTTTTGTAAATATTGGCACTTAAAACTGCCCAAATGTATCGAACTAATAATTAGATTTGGTGATTAACAAATATTCTTTGTTAGAACAGTCTAATATGTTACAATGCAAAAGCCAAGGACCTGAACCGTATTATATTTCGCAGTTTCAATCCTGCAAACGTAAACAAACACAATGTAATTTAAAATTAATATTTTTAATATTTTCCAGAGGCATGACCTTGCTGCAGATGGAGAGGCCAGTAGTCTTACAGTGGCATGGAGTCAAGTCAGGGAAAAACAGAGTTCTCACCACGTTAAACACGCCCAACTGCAACATCCTTTCTAACACCCTTGGTAAGACATAGCTTTATAACTATATAAATAACAGTTTATTTCTAAAATATACAGGGTGTTCAGTTAATAAATAGCCAAGCTCCGAATAATAATTTTGTGGGAAAAAATTAAATCAAGTACTGTATAACATTTTTTCTTTGGTTAGCGTAGCATCCACGATTTTGTTATTTAAAATATATTTATTTCATTAGCAAATGAGGTGTACCTCAAAAACGTTTGGTAATAAACATTAATATTTATCAGAAGTATAAATATTTTTACCTACGACAGTTTTTTAGTATCCATTTCAGTTTAGTTCTTAGAATTGAAAAGTTTCACTTAACAGCTGTTTACTTTCATAACAGCATAGTTTCATTTCATAACAGCATAGTTTTTCTCATAACAACAGGGTAACGGACCAATGAGGTTCAAGGATTGAGAGAAAAGAAGTAAAACTGTAATGCTTCGAACGTCAACTAATAAGCTGATCAGTTTTAATTGTTGATCTGACTTGTTCCTGTTGATACTCGCGTATTCTTAACCTAAGTTTATGGAAGTTAAAGGAAGGTAGATTACAAAATTTAAAAATTTCAGTTAGTTAAAGTGAAGTTGACGAGATGGAAATGAGAGAACAAACTGTTTATAATATTCTATAATATTAGATGCTGAGATCTAACTGTAAATTAACCGTTTCACTATAATCATTCAGTTGTCAAAAACAAAATACAAAATTTCCCCATTTGTACCTGATACAGTATTTATGGTAAGAATGCTGCTAGCAGAACACATTCCCTGAAAAAGGTGACGTATTTTTTTAACGAAGTTTTACAAACACGTAATTACAGGAAATCAGCTGATCATACAATACGTCGTTGCATCTCTTTCCTTTCATTGGCACTGACAATAAACGAAAACATAACATCTCTAAGAAGTAATGAGTAGTGATTTTTAGTAATTAAAAACCAGATTGTTAGTAATTAAAAAAAACTGTCGTAGGTAAAGTAGTGTACGCAACTCGCGTTAATAGTCTTTACGACACTCGTAGAAGTTTTTACTCGCCAAGGCTCGTGCCTTAAATTTTCTACTCGTGTCGTAAAGACTAACTTAGCGCAATCGTTGCGTAAACTACTTAACTAGTGTAACAGTTGGTGGAATTTGAGCAATTGTAAAGTAGGCTATTACAGGAGTTATTTCAAAACGAATAACAGTCATAACTTCTGTTGAGTTTTAAAGATTCAACTCAAAGACTATGTTACTAATGGAAATGCTCACGATGTACATATCAGTTCATATAATCAACATTTCTTGTAAATATTTTATAATTGTTCAAAAGCTGATCTTTTTTTAGCGTTTTTTTTTTTTAATTTTATACTAAAAATGGTACAACTCCCATTGCTGTACGAATTATGATTCAAAAAGTACTGTAACTTATGTTATCTTCCCATAACAACCCCATAAAATAACGGAAAATCAGATTTTTTTAAATACCCTGTTTTGATTAAAATTAGTACCTATGTTCTGGTCCTTATACAGAATATGTAGTTCTAAAGAAAATAGCGCAACCCCATGTGGCTAAAAATTACGGTTCAAAAGTTAATTCAAATTTTGTGATTTTCCCAATAAAGTATCATACTCCCACCGCTTACCCATGATAAGGGTTGTTGACAAGCCAATGGGAGAAAGTAACTGTCAGATTGCTGATACCGTTAATTTTAAATAGTGATGCAATTTGTTCACATCACTTAAGAACTTAAGTACTTCCTGCAAGACCTGTCAGTCACAATATGTTTTGCTGCAATTGGCATTCTTTTGGTTAGTTGCTGTAATATCTTAAATTATATTTACCCGAGAAAATGCAGAGTTAAAAGTTCTAATGTTGTTCAGGTGGGGTTTTGTTTCCATTACCTTTGAATAGTAATTGAATCCTTTAAGGAAAGCTTTTCAAATTGTTCAGCTATTTACTATTCCATCCTTGTGAACTTACGAATAAAAGTGTCTTTGATGTCTTGAGGAGCAAAATGCTTCAATGATTATAATTTTCCAAGTAGTTTTTTAACCTTAAATTTACCCTTGAATTGAACCCTTTTTTTCTTGAAGTTTCCACAATATACTTCACCGTAATTATGAAGGGGGGTGCAAACACAGAGATTAATAATTCTATTGCCTGTGTTTTCATGCTTTGAACTTAGTAAATTTAATACATCTGTTCCAGTGATAACCAGCGAAGGGATGGTAACAACAGGAAGTCAAACATCAAGCAGAATCCCACTCAGCTTGTACGACCTAGGAGCTGTACCTAAGAAACGTAAGCAAGTCAAATAGTTAGAATTCCATAAATATAAATTCCAAATAATTAATAACATTTTTATTGATTTTACATAGGCTACTATTTCAGTATGATGGAGTATTTTAACTAAGTTATAATTAGAGGATGAGATATATTCAGCCAAGATTAACGAGCAGCTCAGTATATTACTAAACTTTACTCAGAAATAGAATTTGGAAGAAAATATAGGGCTTTATCCTTGATTTCCGCCTTTATTCCAGTACTCATACTATTAATATTTCCAGTACCAATCCTAGAAAACTGGCATTAGGTCACCCTAAAACGGAGACTGGGCCCTGAAATATATACTTTAGTGGGTTGAAGTACCTATGAAGACAAAAAGATAACGACAACCCATTAGTGTACGCTGAGCACTGCAAACTGTACCTTTATTTATTACTGGACCTGGGCTGAAAGTCAGTAGACAATAAGATAACACTAGCCCAATAGTGCAGACTCTGCTTGAATATTATACCAAATTTGTTCGTAACAGGACATTGGCTGACAGTCAGACTATGAAATGAGGCAGGCCCAGAAGTGTAGATTGAGCGCTCACATCGATATACGATGAGATCACTTAGGTTCAGAAGTGTAGACTGTGGTCTGATTACAGTATCTATGTGTGTTACAGGACCTTGGCTGAAAGTCAGTTAACGATGAGATGACGTAGGATCAGAAGTGTAGACTGTGGTCTGATATCAGTATCTATGTATGTTACAGGACCTTGGCTGAAAGTCAGTTAAAGATGAGATGACGTAGGATCAGAAGTGTAGACTGTGGTCTGATATCAGTATCTATATGTGTTACAGGACCTTGGCTGAAAGTCAGTAAACGATGAGATGACGTAGGATCAGAAGTATAGACTGTGGTCTGATATCAGTATCTATGTGTGTTACAGGACCTTGGCTGAAAGTCAGTAAACGATGAGATGACGTAGGATCAGAAGTATAGACTGTGGTCTGATATCAGTATCTATGTGTGTTACAGGACCTTGGCTGAAAGTCAGTTAAAGATGAGATGACGTAGGATCAGAAGTGTAGACTGTGGTCTGATATCAGTATCTATGTGTGTTACAGGACCTTGGCTGAAAGTCAGTTAAAGATGAGATGACGTAGGATCAGAAGTTTAGACTGTGGTCTGATATCAGTATCTATGTGTGTTACAGGACCTTGGCTGAAAGTCAGTAAACGATGAGATGACGTAGGATCAGAAGTATAGACTGTGATCTGATATCAGTATCTATGTGTGTTACAGGACCTTGGCTGAAAGTCAGTAAACGATGAGATGACGTAGGATCAGAAGTATAGACTGTGGTCTGATATCAGTATCTATATGTGTTACAGGACCTTGGCTGAAAGTCAGTAAACGATGAGATGACGTAGGATCAGAAGTATAGACTGTGGTCTGATATCAGTATCTATGTGTGTTACAGGACCTTGGCTGAAAGTCAGTTAAAGATGAGATGACGTAGGATCAGAAGTTTAGACTGTGGCCTGATATCAGTATCTATGTGTGTTACAGGACCTTGGCTGAAAGTCAGTAAACGATGAGATAACGCCGGCCCAGAAGTGCAGACAGCGCTGTGATATCTGGGCATTTAGATTAATTTGTACTATAGGCTTTTCTGTGTTACGTTCCTCAATGTGTTGAGTGAATGTTTGCTATTGTTTGGTCATATTGTATAAATGGTTCTATAAAATCAGAAGGTTTTGATGACTGAAAATCTCTTATTCTTTCGTGGTAAAAATTAAAAAAAAAAACAGTTTGTGACTCCTACGTTAGCTCAATTTATATCATTCAAATAATATGGTTGTAACATTCAAATTTACTTTTGATTAATTGCATTGTATGCTTAGTAATGTAGTTGTTACTGATGTAAAAAAAATCTTGCCGGAAATATTTTTGATACATTTCAAGAGTGTTGTAAATGGTCGTAGGAAATTTATATATTTTCATTTTTGTGTAGTCTCCAGTCACTTAACATCTAATAAGAGGCTAATTTACCTTACTTTCGTCTGGTCATTTACCTCCTCTAGACGATCGTTTCTGTGACTATATCGCCTTCTTCAGATCCTCGTCATGAATATCAATTAGTTTTCACTCATATCGAGGTCATCAAAACATTCAACACGAACACACGAATGAACATCGTTTAAACAGGACATAAAATCTGTTTATGTTAAATCCTTTGACGTCCTTGATTTGAGTGAAAATTATTTTTTTTATTCTTGACGAGGATCTGAAGAAGACGACATAGTCGCCAAAATTATGGTAGCCCACCTTAAAGGAGGTATTGGAGTCACAAGACGAAATTAAGGTAAATTAACCTCTTATTTATTTATACATAGCCTTTGTAAGGGCATTGCATGTTTTTACCATCTTAAATACTTGTAATTACTAAATACTTAGTGGTCCAGCCTTTCTTGTTAGATAATGGACCCTGGCTTTAAGTAAATTATGATAAAAGTCAAACCCCGAAATGCTAATGATGTTTATTTCGCCTTATGTAGTTGAATCTAATATATTTAAACAACGATTTGTGGGTGCCTGATATATTAATTGTTTTTTTTTCACATCATATCAAAATTGAATCTTTGGATTTGACAATTGTAAGAATGAAAGTAAAATAGTTAAACATTTTCTAATTATAAATCTAAATTAACCAATTTCTATCTTCAATTATTAGATAGAAAGACAACTTAAATACGTAAAATGTTTGTTAAAAAAGACCCTTTCACGTGACATGAAATTTGTTATTGCTTTCAGTTTATTTATTCTTAAAGTTTGAGACTTTTTTTAATTGGAAGATTACACGAAAAAAACGAATGACCCACCTTGTAAATACGGTGTAAGATAATTAGCGTTTTGCACCAAATTGATCAGGGTGATTAGACCTGTATATTGATGCATCACACAACCCATGTTTACACTTGAACAGTTCTCAAAAAGCACCCCAAATTGGCTCTTTTGGGGAATTTTTCAAAATAATTTAATTGGATTCAACAAGGTAAAATTAGTGGGAAATGAGAACGTACAAGTGTTAAAAGCCTTACCTTTGTACAGTCTACACACCAGATGTGGAAAGTTTTAAAATGAACACCTTGTATGATTTGTTGAGTAAAATAATATTCTGAAATGTGTTTCTATTAATCTTAAACCTGAAATTTTTTTTATAAAGGAATTAGCTTAATACAATTTAGTTCAAGCAATTTTAGGAGGTTATTTTAAAACTTCTGCTTACCTAGCAGAAATACTTCAAGCGCACAGCTGATTTCTAGCTTTGAACGTCGTTGGCTCCATAGAGGTATATTTTTTAAGTTAAGCATTCAATGTTATTTAAATGGGTTTCATTACCTCACCGAAACTTTACATCACTCGTGAACTAAAGAAGTTGTATACATCACGCTTGGGATAGGGAAGTTTAACATGGTGGGTTAGGTAAATAGCTATTACAGCTGTCAACGAAAAACCAATTTTCGCAGATCAGAGCGTGGCATAAAAATATTGTTTTTAACCTAAACCAAATACAGTGTGTAAACTAAGTCTGGCACACATTTTTTATCTTTTTTTCTATAGTAGATAGAAGAAATCAATTTGCGGGACTGATTAATAACAAATGTTAGGCACTTTTTACAAATTTTGAAAATAAAAATTCCCTTAAGGGCAAGGGGGGGTGGGGGGTAACTAAACATTTTCAAATGACAACCCCCATCTTGTGACCCCTCATTTTAAAGGTATTTGGAAGACAAATTTAACTATGTGTCTGAAAATATTTTTTTTGCATCCTGTCTAATATGGTGGCTTAAAATGTACTTAGGGTTGAACGGGTGAACTAAGTTTGAAACACATTAAAATTTTTTCAGACACGTCGTTAAATTTGTCTTCCAAATACCTTTAAAATGAGGGGTCACAAGATGGGTGTTGTCATTTGAAAATTTTTAGTAACCCCCCACCCCCACCTTACCCTTAAGGGGAATTTTTTTCAAAATCATGCCAAAAAGTGCCAAACATTTGTTCTTACTCAGTCCCGCAAATTAATTCCTTCTAATATACAAAGAGTAAAAAAGATAAGAAATGTGTGCCATACCTAATTTACCCGTTCAACCCTAAGTACATTTTAAACCGCCATCTTGGACAGGGTGCAAAAAATATTTTCAGACACATCTTGGGATTTGTCTTCCAATTACCCTTAAAATGAGGGGTCACAAGATGGGGGTTGTCATTTGACAATTTTTAGTTACCCCCCACCCCCCCTTGCCCTTAAGGGAATTTTTATTTTCAAAATTTGTAAAAAGTGCCTTACATTTGTTATTAATCAGTCCAGCAAATTTATTTCTTCTATCTACTATAGAAAAAAATGTGTGCCATACTTAATTTACACACTGTATATTTATAACAATTTAGAGGAAATCGTTGATGTGATTCTTAAATGATTGTGAGGGTAAACGGTAAACGTTACTCGTATTATAGTATAAGATATGTGTGTTAGTAATTGAATTATTAAGTTTCTAATTAAATTAATTAATTACAGTGAATTTAATTAATATCTAACAGTAACGTTTTTTAACAATCAAAAGCTATGTTAGGAAAATCTTTCGCTGCGAAATTTTACACTAATATTGAACTAATAATTTTGTAGCATATCACGTAGCATCTCTAGAGCAAAAGTGAAGACTATAACATTTTTTGTCCCCCAAACCCACCAAAGTAAAGTTTAGCCTTTGAAACTATGCGATTCAGCTTAAAAAAATATCTTTAAGTATTCAAAGTGTTTGTTGTGTGTGCAGATTCCAATAACTATTTCGTCTTTTAGCAAATTTCCCATATACGCTATTACCGTAGGTCTCATTGCAAGACCTAAACCCGGAACCGATTTACTTTTTAGTTTTGAGGTTCCCAGAGCCCAAAAACACCCTCCGTTCAAATTCGTATATATATATAGGTTGTCCTGGAACTCCCTGGAACCCTTTTGTATATTTGTTCCAGCAATGCAAAAACACCATATAAACATTGGTCTAAATTGCCTGTTTATCTGTCTGATTGTGATTTTCACAAATGAATCCATAACTTTCGAACTCCTTAAGCAATATACCATAATATAGCAATATTATATAATATACTATTACCTACGACCGTTTTTTAAAGTAAGCCGTTTCAGTATTGATTTCATTATGGATATGGATGTTTAAACATACAACCAACTGTTCTTAACCCCATCATTAATGTTTGCTGTATACAAACAAAAATTAGAAATTGCTTTTGTAAATTCGTATCTTGGTTGACAATCCCAAGTTTAAATTTAATTCAAAAGTATTTAAAACCCTTATTTTGTACCCTATTTTGGAATGATAGCAGTTAACCTGTGTTAAGATTATCGTGGATGTACTCACAGGGACATTGTCTCTTACAGGCACCGTGTAGACACTTCCAACTAATGTTCTGCACACACTTAATTGAGAATGTTCCTTGTAACTGTTACACATGTCACGTCCAATGTCGTCATTTTTTAAAACATTACCAGAGTGTCTGTCAGTAATTGAGGGTTAAGTAAGCGATTTCGAAATATATATTTAGGATATCTGGTGCTCTCTAAAATATTTTGGTTCTAGATTACAGTTTATTTGAATATAAACACGAAATAAACTATTTAAAAATTAATAAAGGTAAAATAAATCATCCCTGTACAGTAATCTAGATTCTAGAAGTAAGAAATCTTGAAGAATTAGTAGGAGTTTTTAAATAAGAGTGCACTTGATTTTAATTATATATATTTTTAAAACTAGTTCAAACGAGCAAAGAAAAATATAATAACAGCTAAATTTTAAAACCGATGAAAGCTCATTTTCATTCATTAGTTTTAATCATTGTTATACATTTTGCATATTTTTCTTTCATTGATTTGTTATACATGTAAAATTATTCTGATATGTATTATGGACGAAAGACAAACATATTTGTCTGTCAATTACGGGGATTTCACTTTCAACCCCTGTTAAATTGAGTGCCTTTGACATTGCATTTAATAAAACTATTTCAGAGATATACAATTCAATATACACTATGCTAATCTTCATAATATATAACTATGAGACTTTACAAGAATAAACATTGCTTTCTACAGTACTCTTTAGATTTATATATGTAAACCTGTACGCAGACTGTTACGAATTTTACTGATTTAACTTTGGAGAAGAGAAATATTTACAGAAGTTTTAACGAAAAAAACTAAAACGCAGCTGAACATCTGCATAATCTGCTAACAAGATTACACTAGTTGCATTGCAGCACAAACAAAACATCTTCTAACTTTCGAATAAAGTCTCTCTTGTAATTATAACGCAAGCCATGAATCCTACAAACTTCAGATTTGCTGTTTCTTTATATTGAAAAATATGTGTATTTGTATTATTATTACATATTAACGATTTAAACTGACCTCAAAACTCATGTGTTATAAGAGATAGTAACAAAAACACGCTTATAATTATGACAGTAGAAGTGAAGTTAAATTAATGATTCAGAGCAGGCTTTTTTTCTGTATATTTAGTAATTTATTCGCTACTTAAATGTATAGATGCGTTTTATCATCACGGTCACAATATAATGGGGAACTTATTTTCATATTAGCAAACTTTTACTGTTGTTGTTTACATCTGCTTAGACACACACTTTCTCCCATTCGCTTGTCAACAACTTTTTCACCACACTATGATGTTTTTGGCTGTATTACATACGTTAATTGGTGGCTGAAAGTTACGTTTTGCTGGCCATGCCAGCTGTCATCGTAATTTGGGGACCGAGCAGGTTTTTACAGGCCGGGGCCGCAAAATCAGCTGTCCGCTTACTTACTTAAAACATGAATGCATTTTAAATACACAATCAAAATCCATAGCATTGCATAGAATTGTGTTATTCTCACCGTTGCCTAGGAACTATTTATATTTATTTTTGCTGATTCCTCAAATTATTTCTTCACATAACCTTAAAGTTGTAGTTGTGTTGACTATCAGTGTGCATTATTATGGTGGTGAATAGTGGTAATGGAGTATAGTGTGGTGAAAAATAGCGTTCGTACCACGGACCGAAATGGTTTTGCAGCTCTCGATCGATTTAAGTTCTCGACTTCGTCTCGAACTTAAAAACTATCTCGAGCCGGCAAAACCTCATTTTCGGCCCTAGGTACGAAATATACTATTATCATAGTAAGCACTATGAGTAACTACGATATGTTATAGGAGGAATTAAAAAAAATGCAATAGCTTATGAACCGTATTTTTACAGCAATAAGGATGCACCGTTTTGTTCAGTGTTTAAAGGGCTATGCTATTACATACTAAATTTCAATTAAAATTGTTCTAGCTGATTTTGAGAAAATAGGATTTTTCTGTTATTTTATTGGGAAATCGCTATTGAAAATAAAGATTTCAAAAAGATTTAGTAAAATCCTGGAGATACCATAGATTAGTACATACCACATTACATCAAAATCGGACTACAGGTTTTGTCTGTATCTCTGTACACATCCAAAAAAAAATCTCGAGCCGGCAAAACCTCATTTTCGGCCCTAGGTACGAAATATACTATTTCATATCAAGGACGATTTTACAGCTGTAGGTACTTATGGGGAAGATGCATAAATAAAGAAAAGAATAAATATGCAACTTATGCAACTATTTTCAGCGCGGTGAAAGCTAGTTGAGCTGAACAAAGACGGTTTAAGATATTGAGATTAAGTTAAAAGGAAAAGCTTCTATAGATGTATTAATAGCCTACTATTTTATAAATTAAAATTAATAGTTTAACTGTGAACTATTAATTAACATGCATAACAATAATTATTAAAGTGTAAAGATAATTTGAGTGAAATTTTGAATTTAAATTGAAATGTACAACACAAACGTTTTACCTTTTTACCACTGCAATCACTAAAACTCCCTAGAATACCTAGAATTAATCCATGACTGTTAATACCAAGAAGTTTATTGAGAAAACGACTGTAATAATAGTCAATCAAGTTGACGAACTCTTAATAAAGCAACATACGTAAGTCCAAGGGAAAACTCTGTCTTGCCAATCGGTAGATGCC